TAAGTGGGACGTCTTGGTACAACGGACACGTGTCTTATATGCAAAAGGTCTAGTAAGCCTTTTTAAGCCGTTTGTGCACACCCCACTGCGCATGCGATTTTATCCCGAATTTCTCACCTTCTTTTGTTTAATTAAGAACAAAAGAAGGTTAGACAAAAGAAGGTGAGAAATTCGGGATAAAATCGCATGCGCAGTGGAATCGATCCTTAAACTATGAAAAGGCTTATTAGTGCGAAAGCGCTAGAACGACTAGACACTTAAATAAAAGTGATTTATTTATTTATTTTTTAACTCCTCCGCGTTTGAAGACTTCGCTTGGTGACGCGAAACACAAACGGCGTCTCAATTATTACTGATGAATTTCAGAGTTCATATTAAAATGATATTCTAGAGCTACAAAATGGAAAACAAATCAAAAGAGCATACCGAATTATCCTAGTTACACGTAACTATGATATTACTCTGGATATTACTGTAATCTAGACAAATGATACGTTGACGTGACGCATCGCGTTTGTACACACCCACAGCGAGGTATCACTTTCGATTCCTCGACTAACTGTCTAATTAGTACTTCCGAGATTGAGTTTATTCAACTTTCTGTTCGTAATTTCAAAACCTATTCTGTAAACAGATGCCTTGAACAAATATTTTGTCTTTACCGGCGATTGCTGAAATCACTTGAAAAAGCTATCGAAATAGACAAACACAAAGGTGCAAGTCTCAAAAACAATCCTTACAAAAAAGTTTTAATGTTCCTTGTGAAATGATGTTCTAGAACTCCAAATGCACCGAAATGATGTTCTTTAAATATAAAGAATTTTTTATAGGTTTCTCGTGCCGATAAAGGCATTCCGAAATGTTGATCACGGGGCGTGTTGAGAGTGCTTCGTAACAACAGCGTGACTTGATCGCACGAAATAAAAGTTTTGATCGATGAACATGTCTTAGAATTATAGTTGGATTCCTAATGCATCTGAATGATGTTCTTTAACTCCTAATTCAGCTATATCATGTTCTGGAACTAACTATTAATGATAACATTCAAGAAGTACATCGCTTAACTACAGAGATTTAGCACTACAACTTACCTATATTATCTTCTACTATTTCATTAGTGCCACGCGGTCCACATACTCTCATCTTTGCATCATAATTACCGCGACCTAACATTTATTTCACCCCGGCCTGCTCTCAGTCTGACCTATAGCTCAGCTGGTAGAGCATCGGTAGTACAATTCCGAAGGTCGTGGGTTCGATTCCCAGCGAGGTCGGAAATTAATTTTTCCGAATTTAATTCCAAGGGCTTTCGCCCGGAATAACCTCGTTCCCAAGCACTACAACTTACCTATATTATCTTCTACAGAGATTTAGTGTTCGCCAGCTTGTAGGTATCGTTTTTAACTCGTGGATACGCGAAGCGTAGAAACGAGTTATTTAAAATCGTAATGACCATGAAACAACTCCAATAGTGTTCGATTTACATGGGTTCATAGCGCCATATTATTATCGTTAAACTTCTTATTAAATAAGAGTTAATAGAGACAAGGGGCGTCATGGTTTATGCTGGGGGCGTCGTGGTAGTACAGACTGGGGGCGTCATGCATGGTATACGTGGGGGCGTTATGGCTGGGGGCGTCATGACAAGGGGGCGTCATGACCAGTTACCAAGTTAGATAGCATTAGACTGTAAACACTGGTTGATTTTTAATACTAAATGTGTCATTTCCAACCTAAATAATACATAATTTGTAGTGTAATTCCTATAATAGTAACATAACTGAATAATTTCAATAAAAAATATTGCTATTCGTGTAAATTTTGTCATTATAGTAATTTGTGGGTTTCCCTGTTAATATGTGTAAAGTCCACTTGATGCATTTATTTTAGGTAGTCTCTTGTTAAGTTTCCTGTACATGTACAGCATAAACTGCTAGTGACTTGTAATGCAAAATCTTCCAAGCCAATATATTATGCTTGTTAGAGGGAAAAGCTGGAAAAGCTTTTTCATGGTGGTGCTAACAGTGTCTGCATATATTAAGGAGACTAATCTTGTGGAAAATTGTCAGAGAACAGGTAAAAACACCTCTTTTAAGTGTTGCATCTTGATGTCGTTGTACTTAAGTATTAGACTCAGTAAGAGTAGAGTACAAACACTAAATGTGTGCAATAGTTAACATTATTTTTTAGTAGTAAATAGCACCAATTAAAAAGAAAACAATGGAATTAGCATAAAATATCACTGTTTAGTGATATTTATGTTGCACACTTTTAGTGTTTGCATTCTAAGTTTTAATTGTAATATTAATGTAATGTAATCTTTTATACCTGTTAAATCAAACAAAGGATGTATGCACGTATATATATTATGTATCTGCCAAGTCAGGTGCCGAGTTTATTATGTTGGGATTATTATAAACTAAAATATATCTATGATATTTTTTTGGAGTTTCATGCTTTTGAAATCTATAAATGTGAAACCAGTAGGTTATGTAATCACACGTAAACAATATAGTGTGGCATGGCAACTTATAGACGGACATCTGTTTAAGTAATTAAACCAATTTACCGACATGAACAGGCATCTGGTCAACAGATTCATAAAAACATGTTTTTATGTTCTGTATATGACATTCATGACATCATATTCATGTTCTTACACCTAGTTCTATTCACAAGGTCATCTAATTATAATTATACTGACAAACTTAAAAACAGATTGCCAGTTAATCATGTATGTCTAAAAATTTGCAAGCACGCCCCATACTATATTGAATATATTCATAATATCTATCTGCAGATGCCTTAGGGATAATATTTAATAAGTCGCAGGTCATGGCTAACTCACAAATTTAATTGCAATGTTAGAATTCAAATTACGATGGGATTTGGTTGGGTGGGAAACCTGAAAGACCCTATGAGTATAGGTTATGTAATCTGTAAACAATTGTGCATGGAATGGCAACTATCATCTGTTTAATTAATTGAACACAAGAATTTACTACTCCTCCAAAGGCAACAGGTCAAAAGATTTTAATAGGAAAATAGTTTTGAGATTTCTAGAAGTCAAAAGAACATGAAACGTATGCTGATACTCCTCAGGATAAGAGYGCAATTAAGTGGACAAACAAATCAAAACTTCAAACAAACAAACAAATATGACCTGGAGATAAGTAGCCTGCATGCAGCCGACCTAATTAACTGTTACTATACAAGGGAAAAGTCTGGCTGCACACAGTCTAGGGATAAGAAATAAGAGTTAAAATGCAAACTCCAGTTGACCAGGTTCATTCTGTGGCTTATGTATGCTATCATGTCTGTCCCATAAATTTACAGAATTTCTAGCAAGATTGTGCAACTACTTTCTTATGAGTCTTCTCCTCATTCAAAGTTATTGATATTATAATAATATCAGTGCCTCACAGGGATTGATGCTAGAATTATTTCCAGGGGTCTATTTTTATTAAATAATTAAATATTATCCAGATGAACTCAGGCAAAAAAGTATCTGAGTTCCTGAAAGGAATCTGAATCATGATAATCTGGGAATGCTAGACATTGTGGCTCATGATAAAAAGTCGATATTTTAATGTACCAGATTTGTAAACCAACACCTTGATGAGAATGATTATTCCTTTGTAGGGGAGAAAGGTTTAAAATGTTAATCCCCTCAATAAGGAAATATATAAATCTTTAGAATGAGAGGAGTTTTAATAATTGGGTTAACTTTTTCTGGGGTTGGACTTCAGATATCATTTTATATAATTAGGAACAGCTACAACACAGGCTCCAGCTCTGCCTGCGTTTAGAGAAGCTACTTGTTTCCATTCATTTGTAAGTGGGTCGTACACTTCAACAGCACTTAAATACTTGGACCCATTGTATCCTCCAATTGCATACAGTTTGTCACCTAAACAACACACACCTACTGCATCCCTGCAGTTTATCATAGACCCAACCATTGTCCACTGGTCTGTCTTGGGGTCGTATCGCTCAACAGATTCAAACTGTCTACAAGAGTCTTGGCTCGCTGGAGCATCATGTCCTCCCATGGCATACAGAAAATTGCCAAGCACAGTAACACCAACACCTGAAGCATTGGAACATTATGAATTATTAGTTAATAACTGAGATAATCTTGGCCACAAAGTGTGGGGTTCCAGAAAATATCTATATAAACCTTTCCCCATTGAGAGATTAGGATTACAATTATTTCCAAGGGAGAAGAAGGATAGGATATGTAGTTCAACAAAATATGCCTCCCCACCTGCCTCCATACCCCAATGGAGCGATAAAAACTTCTGAAATTCTCATATCTCCCTTAATGTAAGGGGAAGGAGAAATGGAGGGATAATGATTGCTCAACCCCTTTATAAAATAACTGTTATGAATGTCGCACTCTGATTGGTTTAGAGTGCATGCTTTATGAGAGCACATTGCACATGCGCGCACTTTCTGTTGCTTCATTCCTATCTATTATTGTAATTTGTATTTTATAAAAAAAATAAAAAAACTTACTTGCTGTGCTGTGTGCAGTCATAAAGCACTTTGGGATTGGCAGAACACTCGAGAAGTGTCCAGAAGCACTCTGCTACACGTTGTGCTTCTCTTGTGTTCTGCCAAGCCCCGCATGCTTTATGACAGCACACAGCACGCACGCACGTTTTCTATTTCTTCAATAACATACCTCCTCTTCGTTTTAACATTGGAGATACTAAAGTCCATCTGTTAGTATTGGGATCATAGCATTCCACTGACTTTAAGCATGACGAACCATCTCTTCCACCCACAGCATAAAGTTTGCCATCCAAAACAGCAACTCCTACTGTGCTGCGAGGGGTACTCATAGCTGTGACAAAACTCCATTGCTTAGTTTCTGGGTCATACCTAAACAAAGCATTTATTGTATGGTTATATTTATGGTTAAAAAATGATGATAATAGTACATAGCAGTGATATGATGGTAGTTGTGTGTGGGCATGATGATACAGTGCTATCTAAATAGGTTATTTATTGGAGCCAAGGGCAATAAGAATTTGAGATGGCCAATCCAAGATCCAAGAATAGCTGAAATGACCTGTGTTTCTCATAATGTTTCTTGTCATGAGCACAAAGGTTAGTAAGCTAGTGTTAGTTTAATTTCTGGCTTGTAGTTGGTGAAACAATAATTATTAATGGCCTTAAAACATGTCTACAATCCACCCACAAAATGTCAAAATCTATAATATCACAAATTTATTGAAAGGATACCAAGGTTTATTAGTTAACCTATAGGATTAGCACTAATAAGGCTTCAAACAACTGGGCTCATGTTGGTAATTGATGGTAGTAGGAAATCATGCTTCTTCAATCTGATACTGAAAGCTTAAACATATGCTTAGCACTTGGTAACCGAACAATCAATTTATAGTGTGATTAGGATGGCAATGAGAACAGGTGGGTGGCATACATAATGTAGGGATTATATTATTGTAATCTTTAAAAACAACATACCTCTCAACGGTGCTCAAGTATGACCATCCATCATGCCCTCCAACAGCATATAGAGGACCATTCAAAACAGCCACGCCCAAACCATGCCGATGGGTATTCATAGAAGTCACTGGTGAACACTGTGCAGTTACAGGATTATAGCACTCTACTGTGTTTAACGTCTTGAGTCCATCACGACCACCAACAATAAATAATTTACCATCTAAAACTGCTAATCCAAACTGCAATCGCCTTGATGCCATGGGTCCCACAAGGGTCCAAGTGTTCTTGCGTACATCATATTCTTCTATGTTTATAGCACCCTTAGAGGAATCCATTCCTAGAAAATATAATATTCATGTATATTTAGACTAAGTCTAAAAAATATACTATACAGGTACCAGTCTTGTCCCCCCCCCCCTTACAAACCCACACCCCACTTTCAGCCTTATGTATCATACTAATCAGTTACTATTTTCCCTATCTGAGTAGAGAAAATGTGCTTATTAGTCAAGAACTTATTCTGTAGTGTACTATTTTTGATAATCACCTACAGGTGGGTATAGGACCATGAGTGCGTATTTTTTGTGTTGCTCTTTCAAAATATGAAATACTGTTATTATTAATTTAAAAAATTAACCAATGTTATGATACTTAAACAATTATTCGCCTCTGCGAGGCTCAAGAACTTGAGCCTGTGTAAATATTTTTCCAATAATCACTTCATCTTCGATGTGAATAATCATTCAATATTTTCCAAACAGACACACACACTTTAGGGGTGCTTCCTGAGGTCCCTACTTGAGATAAAGGTTATAGGTTATTATTAACTTATCATAATTTTTAAACAAATTTTCTTCATAAATCCAGTTATCTTTATGGGGGAAAACTGAAAAAAATTCCCATTCACCTCCTACTGCGAATAATTTTCCCACAGTAGATTTTCTGGGTTTCGTCCTAGATGATTGCATCTGAAGCTTTCGGTTTGGTAAGAGCTGATACTTCATCGCTTCCAGTATCAGCTCTCTGCATGGACTCAGGTCACGAAACAGTGGACAAGATTCAACATGGTCTATGAGGTATTGTGTAGATAACAGAGGGAGTCGTACTAGGGACAACAAGCGAGGAAGAAACTGTTTTCTGTTCTGTAAGTCATGTTGTGTCCAAGTTTTGAGCGCGGCAAAAACTTGACTTTCGGAAGGAACATTTAATTCATCACTCGAAAGAAGTTCGGCCAAACGTTCATCGGGCAAAACAAAGAATTCTTGGTTATCTATTACTTCAACAAAATGGTCTTTTGTGTACTGATCGCTGGCATTAAATAAGCCGTCACAACCATGGCCGTCTGCGAACGCACGAATCCCTAAACAGTTCGAAGGATGAAGTTGATTGCTCATAAATTCACTACATGCTTTTTTTACTTCTTCAATCTGTAGTATACAAGCAACCGATAGTAAATTTTCGACATTATCAACCCTGATTTGGATTTCAGAAGTGTAGGCGTATTGAATGAGTGCCTCTACGGCAACCGAATTCATATCTGTCAGGTGGACTGTGGACTGACTTGTTTCAGACATATCTCCAGTAAACATGGCACTGAAGTAATCACTAAATGCCGCCAAAACCAGTTTATGAGCTTGTATTTTCTTTTCCTCGACGATAAGCTTGATGTCACAGAGTATTGAATTTTTTCGGAAATTTTCAAAACGTCTGAAGGTCTTTTTGAGATGGTCGTTACACGTAAATGTGACATACTCCACATCTTTTTCCATACTAAACGCCACTCCGATCTCTGTCTCAAACGAATCAGGACGAAAAAATGCTGCTTCCTAAGCTAAGATCAATGGAGAATCACCAGTAATCTTTAAATTCGGTATTCCGTGCAGGCTAGCTTTTCGTAATAACATTTTCTTTCGTGTAAATAAAAAAAAAATCAACTCTTTCCAGGCTACCTCGACAGTTGTCATGAGCTACTACCACAGGAATCCCGAAGCAAAATGTAAAACGTTTAAAAGTTACTAATACTATTTTTTGCAGTATTCAATCTTTAAATTCTAAAATCGATATAAAAGGAGAGAACCAAAAAATGTTTACCCTGAAGTATCGACTTTAGAAACTTGAAATCATGGAGATGTTTCCCATGGGGATGGGCTTCCTGTGTTTTAGACAGTGGTCAGCGGTGTTATATTTTGGTTTCTGTATTACAAAATGTTCCCATGCAAATTTGCACGCTTTTCTAATCTTTCTTTTGTTTCAAAAAGAGCAGTATGTTCTTTATACTTCACCAGAAGCGTTTCTGCAGAGGCTGTACCTCAGTTTCGAGATGAAGATCCTAAAGTAATGCGTTTATTTGAGGGGATAACAAGAGGCGAAAGAGGATCTCTGGCACAAGGTATTACAATGGTGGAAACCCTTCATCCAGAAAAATACAAACAAGCCCAGAAATTGCTGTCCAAAATAGTCAAATATTCTAAAAGTAACCTCAAGTTTCCTAGCGGCAAGAAGACGTCGTTTAGAATTGGGTTTTCTGGTCCACCAGGCGCTGGGAAGTCAACATTTATTGAGGTATTTGGGAAAATGTTAACGTCTCAAGGACACAAAGTGGCTGTTCTTGCTGTTGACCCATCATCGTTAAGGACTGGAGGCTCTTTACTAGGAGATAAGACACGCATGACAGAGTTATCACGTGATCCTGATGCTTATATTAGGCCCTCGCCAACATCTGGGACTCTAGGTAAATAACCAAATTTTTTAAAAAGTGAAAAAATGGAAAAATGAGTCATAGCCTACATATATAGCGGCCCACTGGTTGGGAAGGGGAGCAGACAAGGGACAAGGAGATTGGGGAGTCCTCTCGCTCCAACCTCATGGCAACTATGCAAGTTATGAGAGTTAATGAAAAAAAAAGAAAGATGGATATATAAATATTTTTGGATCTCTATGCGACGATATAAGATGAGACAATCCTGCAATGCTGATTGGGTAATGGACCAGATGAAAGTATGCATTATCCGTGATCGTACCTTTAGGTGTTGCACTATAAGTAAAGATATAGAAAATATAAAACCCAAATAAATGAAAATAGAAGAATAATTACATGCAAATCTAGAAATAATTACAAATTTAAGTATGTTATAGAAAAACCAACAAATATGTATGGAAATAGGAAAATATGAGAATAATAAAAAAGGGAAATAGGGGAATATGGGAAATGAAAAATAAAGGAATGGGAGTAAGTATTGTTTTTATTTATCTAGGTGGAGTAACAAGAAGCACAAATGAAGCCATTGTTCTTTGTGAGGCTGGAGGCTATGATATTATTCTAGTTGAGACGGTTGGTGTTGGTCAGTCTGAATATGCCGTAGCACATATGGTTGACATGTTTGTACTACTCATCCCACCAGCAGGAGGAGATGAAATGCAAGGCATCAAAAAGGGAATTGTTGAGATGGCAGATGTGGTTCTGATTAATAAAGCTGATGGAGATCTGCTTATTCCTGCTCAAAGAATACAAACAGAATATACAAGTGCTTTGAAGTTACTAAAAAACAAATCCACTATATGGTCTCCATCTGTAAGTATGATCAGGTCTTCTTGGACTTGAGTGCAAAGTTACTGTTTTTTGCCATTACAGTGAAGACACTCAAATCTTGAACACTTCAATTTTTTGAGGTTGTGATTTCCTGAACTTTGTACTGTATCAAACCCTATAAAACGAGGCATTGAGTTCAAATACCCCAAAATAAATCTGATTTCCAATCACTTTCAAAAAGTAACAAATTTTTACTCGAAATGTTTATAGTTTGAGTGTCCTTACTTTAAATAATCTTGGATCTTTTTTCCAAATTGCAGCCAGCCATGGCTGTGAGATCGATAAAGTTTTGTTTATTTAATGCTATATTTTCTTTATTTGGCAGAGTGTATTATGTGCACTCATAAAATCTCCCTTTTAGATGAGCATCTGTAAAGGTTCAGTTGATGATATTTTGTGCCTTTTATTGATCTACTCCACTGTATTTGCAACTTACTTTATTTCTCTCTGTTCTCAATGGTCTCCCAGATTTATTATTATTATTATCATCATCACCATTGCCATCACCATCAATGATCATCATCACCATCACCATCATCATTTAGCATCAACATCAACAACATAAACATCATCCTCATTATCATTATGTAGTTCTAAGAAGGTCTAGTTCTAGTTTAACGACTCCCATACCCTTGAAATTCCAATTTTCTTCCCTACGAACTCTGTAATTTTTTATTCAATTTCAGGTTATACGTGTTTCAGCAAAAACAGGAGAAGGTATTGACAAGTCCTGGGAGGTAATGCAAGCCTTTTTCAACACGATGACAGAGACTGGAGAGTTAGAAAAGGAGCGGCGCAAACAGCAAGTTGTGTGGATGTGGAGCCATATCAAGGAACAAATTATAAAAAGATTTAAAATGAACTCAGATGTAAAGAGAAAGATAAAGACTTATGAGAACCTTGTTGCTGAAGGCCTGATGACTCCAGGGCTTGCCGCAGATATGATGTTGAAAATCTTTGAAAGATCAAAAGAAGAAAAATAAATACAAAATAAATGTCAATTTATAATACGAAATGCTAAAACATTTTAAAAGTTACTAGGTTGATATTCTGTGAACTTAGTAGTTGTGAGTTGAAAGTTTTTTTCTGCCTTCAGTCAAAAATAATTGGTATCTTGTAGGTTTTGGGCTGGCGGCAATAAAAATCCTATTTCACAACAAGCTTTTGAAATTTTGGGAATTGCTGCAAACGAAAAAAAATTATTGTAGTGTTAATATCAATTCTATTTTTTTGAATTTACACAATTTTTTTAAGTTGGTCATCTCCAGTGTAATATAATTTATGTAGACTTGTTATATCTATTGTGACTCATTCTATAGATTGTAAAGCTGATATTGATATGCTGTGGTGTATAAATTATATTACACTGGAGATTTCCATTGTACCAAATAGCACTGATGGAACAATTGAAAACAATAGACTGATTGTTCTATTCTGTACTATTAGCACAAAATAACTTGAATACTGTTTCACAGATAAAATGTGATCATTCTAGAAACATAATTTATTTTAGGGATTAGGAATAATTTAAAAATAAGAATAAAATTCTTAGAAATGTTTTGTGGTCGTTTTATTTTATCAGAGTTATGGGGAGAGGGGAACTGTAAGATTTTTTGTTAAACATTGCATGCTGCCTTTAAACCAACTTCAGCTAATGGGACAACCCTATATAAAGAATATTGATTTAAAATAAAAAAATACATTCAAAAACAAAGAAAAATATGATTTTCTCCAATTTCCTTGCAGAGTAGTGTACAAAGTAGTGAATTTCAAGGGATTTTTTTAAAAGAAAAATATACTTGAAGAAACAAATCAAATTTTCATAAAGAATTTCTTGGGGTTTTTTCATGACTAATCCCCTCCCCTAAATTCCACTTTTCCTCTCCTCAGACAAGGTTATTGGTGTCATCGTACATAGTTTTCAAGGTGCGCACAAAGGTTAAAATAAAATACAAGCGCGCATATTTTGGAGGTGCGCACAATAATAGTAAAGTAGTTGCAAGGCGCAAATCAGTGCAGCGGTGGCAACCCATCACACCGAGTGCCAAACATTCCCTTGGTTCTTACGCTCGACTTCCCACCCAAAAGAAACTCAACAAAACCTGTTCTTTTGGGCTAAATAATGCCGTTTACCCAACTCGGTAGTTTTTCCAGCTAGTGTATTTGTTTATTTGATCTTTCTAAGCCAAGTGCTTGATAATGGAAGACATTTTTTCGGCTTCGCGTGACGGCAACACAAGATTCGTAAAAACATGGCTTGAAGACACGAGAAATGATTTAAATCTTGGGTAAGTTTAGCGTCTAAAACTTCTTCCTTGAATTAAATATCTTGAAGTTTATCAGTTAAGATAAGAAATTCAATTCTTTATTATTCTAGCTTGATAACTATTCGAGTTTTAGTCGTTCCATTCACGGTTACTTCGACTTTCAGCAAAGAGTCAACTGGGTATCAAAAGCGTGTAAACGGATTTGTCTTGCACATATGTTCTCTAAATCTCTGGTTTTATTATTTTAGAGACGACCATGGCTTCACACCGTTTTTGTGGGCATGTAGAGAAGGACAAGCGGTTGTTTTTGATATGCTATTATCGCGTGGTGCAAAAGTTAACGCCGTCAATGATGGTGGGGATAATGGCTTACACCTCGCTGCCAGTAAAGGCAACAAAGAAATAATACTCAAGGTAATCAAATATTTGATTAGTGTTAAGAGCCTAACTTATCCACTCTTGCTAAAGTCTTGCTAAAGTCTCTTAAAAAGACTCTAGAATGAATGGTTTCTTACTTTCTTCCTTTTTCAACCTTAGGGTTACAATATTTGACAATATTTTTTATTTTTATATAATTTTTTTGTATGGAGTAACCTAGCTTCTTTCAATCCTTATTTATAATAGATAACGCTTTTATTCATTGAATAGTGGTGAATTATTGACCCACCTATATGTGTCACTTCCTGTAAGACATACTACACAATAGGGTGAGGCTGTGAAACTGATTATATTGACCCATAATATGACCCCATATCAACATTTTGTTGTGCAGCCTTGCAGCACATCGGAAAGCAGCTCAGTTTGGAGGACATAACAATAGGTTTCCAATTCTCATGAGGTTGAAATTTTTTTGTTTTTTCCCCCTCCAAATTAAGCTGCTTAGACATCACATGCAAGGGTCTATTACTGACTGAAAAATTATTTTTCTAATTTTTTAACAAGGGGTCTAGATTTTTAATTTTGGGGCCATTTTGAATCAATCTACCGTCAGCAAATTTTCAGACCTTCTGTTTGATGTTTATCTATTTATGTGTGTGAAAGTAAAGCAAAGTAATAATTTGAATACATAAAGTTCTGTAAATCCTCATGGGAGTCCTTGTACATGTTGCACTAATTGAATACCTTTGCTTTAAGTGAGTCTGAATGGACATTTAAAGAAGGTCTAATTTCTTTTATGACGAGATGCAGAACTTTATGTATTCAAATTTTTACTTTGCTTTACTATCACTCTTGAAAATGATGCCGGAGGGCGTCGAAAATGAGTATACTAGTCTTCAATTTTATTTTAAAAACTTCAAGAAACAAATACCTTATGTGTGTGAGTGTGTTATATTTATGGGGCATTCTTTTGCCTTTATTAGTTTAATTTTACAAAGGTATGGCTTCATTATTTATTTATTTTTCATATGCTTTCAGTTCGATGACGAATTTTTTGTTTGTTTTTCATTTACAGTTACTACGAAACAAATGCCCTGTAAATGGAACCAATGAACATGGTAATACTCCTTTACATTATGCTTGTTTCTGGAATTATGAAAGTGTCGCAGAGGTAAGATATTCCATATGTTATGTTAAACAGTACTGAAAAATAGGATCTTTCTACATTTCTCTTCATATGCACATCATTTTTTTCTCTTTTTGATTCATCCTCTTTACCTTTTTTTCTTTTTTCCATGCTTTTTTTCTCTTTTACATCCATTCTCTTTCATCCTTTTTTGATATTCCATCCATCCTCTTTCATCGTTTTTCTTATTTTCCATCCATTATCTTTCTTTCTTTTTCCTTCTACTGTGTCAAGCTGGCATTGCATTGTGACACTGTTTTAGGGACATATTTCCAAGATGGCATCTATTTTGTCCCTAATACAGTTTCACAATGCACTCAAAAGGAAACACGACCCAGTTTTTTACTCAATCTCGGAATAGCTAATAAATTCGATAGATGAAAATGGAAGCCATTGATTTCATCTTGCTCACAGAAATTTAAGAAATTCAATAAATTCCAGTAATGTATTTTAGTATTTATGTGGTTTTTTACATTATAGTATATTTAATGTTTTCCAGGAGCTAGTAAAGAAAGGTGCTTTTGTATCGCAGTGCAACAGCAATGGGGACACTCCTCTAGACAAGAGCAAGCCTTATCTGGCCGAGATTCTAAAAGGTAAGAAAAGCATGTCTTTCTGCTTTCATTCAAATCATACCATTCAAAAAATCTCTTTATACCCATCCCTTTCCCATTTCTTTATGAGAATGACACCTTATTTCCTCTATAATTCTGAGTCCTGTTATGAAGAAAAAATAGAGATTAACCCCTACTTTAAGTGTTGCTTAGCCGACCTATTTAAAAATTGCTCTGCTGTCCCTGTAAATATAGTTTCTTGTTCCTGAAAAGTTTGAAATGTGGAAACAGTATGACCAAAACTGTTGTTCTAGTTCCATTTTGATTACTATTGTTTTAATTAGGAAAACAGATGCTCAAATTTTTTGTTATCGTTGTACATGTTATTTCTGACTCTAGATCTAGCAACACAACTAGGACAAGATATGAAGAAAATCCCATACAAAGGTATCTCAGCAATTTAATATTAGAAACTGAAGCTTCTTAGAGGCGGTTGCTAGGTAACAGCATGATTGGTTTTGCCCTCTCTTTGCTTTATGAAGAGTATGTTGCTAGGTAACAATCTGACTAGTTTCCCAGTCCCCCCCTTTCCTACCCCTGAATCTGTTGCTAGATAACAGTGTGATTGGTTTTGCCCTCTCTTTGCTTTATGAAGAGTATGTTACTAGGTAACAATCTGACTAGTTTCCCAGTCTCCACCTTTCCTACCCCTGAATCTGTTGCTAGGTAACAGCGTGACTATTGTCCCTAGTCTCTCCATTTGTTTTATGTATAATCTGTTACTAGGATGTATTACTTTAATAACAGGAACATATTTTTTGATAGATACTTCAAACAGAGGAGGCAGGAGAACTGGTGAGTATATTTAATGCCATCTGTTGTGTGAGAGTTTATGGGTTAAACCCCGGTTCAGAACAACCCTCAGAGTGTTAACATAAAAAAAGAGAAAGTGCTGAAGGCCTTTGTAATGACATCTACAAAGGGTTACACTTGGATGAACACTTTAAATGGCAGTCCATTTCTCCACCCTTCATTATTACTAACCAATATCAGACATGCTTAAAAAGAACTACTGAAGATGTAATGAAATTCTGGAATTGACCAGCCTCACTTTCTACACCTCATACTAACCACCTCCTAAATTTATAACTAGATGTAAAGGTTCTTTAATCATATCCATATGGAAAAGGGTGCTATATAGATCAGAAATCATTTCATTAGTGGCATAGATCTGTAACAAACGATCAGTGTTGTTCAGGCCTCATGCCAATTCCATTAAGTTATTCTTGAGAAGATGTTACTAATAATGGATATGACTTAAAAATAAAAATAAAAAATATGGAAAAATAATGCAAAAAAATGTTTAAAAAAATGATTAAACCTCCACCTAAAACAATAATATAATTGAACTTTGGACAACAAATCCCGTCAGGAATAAAAAGTATGAAAAATCTTTATAGAATTGCTTTTCGTTTTGGACCCAGAAGTTGTTTTTCCATACAATCAACATCACACTTAAACACTATATACTTGAAGTACAAAAAACCACTTTATCATTACATGACTACCCTTGCATGTCTGATGGAAGGAAAATGAGAAAGAAAATAAATAGTGGAGTATTGTTTGTTTCAGACCTCAGGGATATCAAAGACAGATACTCTTGGATTTCACCAGATGAGATAACACTTACTGAAAAAATCAGCAAAACAGTAACAGGAGAGGTGAGCTAATGCCGCTGGCACAATGAATGCAATTCCCTTTCCACTCAATTCCTGCCCTTTCCAAGAGATCCTCCACAAGTATAAAATATAAAGAGTTCATCTTGAACAGAAATCTTCTGAAGATGATGATGATGAACAAAAGGGTATATTTCTTAAACTACTCGATTAATTTGTTCCAAAACTGATTAGTCCATGGGATATATGTCGGACACAAAATTTTTTTGAATAAGTTACAGTTTTGGTATATAATTCTCTGCCACGTTTGTTTTATTTGTAATAGGGATTGGTAACTATCAAGGAGTACTTCTGCAGACCACATGGTGTGAAAACGCCATGTAATATAAACATCCGTGTTGGATGCTTACTAGTCATAATAGTTGATTAAACATTTACTAGCCCAGGCCTTTCTAGAGTTCAGCAGGAACCTTGACAAGATGCACTAAAAGAGTTTATCTTTTTAATTTAAAAGTGCAACCATGTGAGTTATGACCTCACCTTCCCCTTCACCTTCCTCTCTCCTCTACCACTTCCCCCCCCCCCCCCCCCCCCCCCCNCCCCCCCATCTCAGTTTCCCCCTTCCAGTACCAATTTTTTCTTTTTCTTAAAGACATGTAAATGGGATTTACATTGTACAAATATTCCTCACAACTGTCATGTAAAACATACAAAGATTAGTCTTCCTTTTACAATCGTAAGCAAGTTACACGGTCAATTATATGAAGCAATTTGAGTCGTCCGCATGTGGCATATGATAGTTGTGAGGAAAAATCATACCATGGACATTGGCTTTTAGGTATCATATTCCTTATTGATATAATTTATAATTATGATAGGTGTGGAAAGGAATGTGGAATGATATTCACATTGTCGCCAAAAAACTAGCTATCAAATTTGTAAACAAACGAATCTCTAGGGACTTCAGTGAGGAGTATTCTAAACTGAGGTAAGTAAGAAGTTTGTTGATATTAACTTGTTGTCTTTGATATAAAAGAATAAAATACAAAACCATTAATATACACAAATATCACATTCAAACATAAATATCAGCAATTACAGAAAGAAAACGTTTAACTTTTTTGTTGCCTCGCATGAAAATAGCATAGAATTTATGCTAATAAAAATAAGAAACTGGTATATCTTTTACATTGACGCTTCGTCCTAAAATTTCTGTATGGTCTTTGAATCCTACTACACAACTTAGCTATATTACTGGGCTATGGCAAAATTTGAAATTTTACTCAGATTTTAAAACTCCACTAGAATGCAGGGACTAATGGATTTGAAATTTTGCTTTCCATTTTTTTGGAGTTTTTCATCAGCTTTTTGCACTTTTACAAGTTGTGCAAAATAAATTTGTCAGATGATAATTGACAAGTAGATCCACAAAGTGCTTACTCCACAGTTGCGGATCCAGGAATTTGTTTGGGGGGTGTCCCAAATGAAGAAATGTATATAGAGAAATCATGCATTACTTTAAAATTATGGCGTTAGGGGGTTGTCCGGTGCACCACAGGACACCCCTTGGATCTACCCCTGCTTCATATATGTCTAATGTCGACATGTTTGATTGACTTCAATCAAGCATAAATACACTGACAAGGGTTATTATTTTAAGGAAATATTTTAGCCTACGTTTGTGACACAAATATTTTAACCCTTAGTAATACGAGGCACCAATAAAACCCATACGCAGCTTTTCGACTTAAATTGCGCGAGCAATACCCAGAAGGCCAACACGAATAATACCCGCGGGGGCCCAATGGTACTTGGCGGGGGCAATAACCGGCTCCCCCGGTACCCCCTCCGCGAGTCCCCCATACTGCTGCTTGATGATAATGTTGCATGATGATGATAATGTTGCATGATGATGATAATGTTGGTGATGATGATACATAATGATGATACATGATGATGATACATGATGAT